ATACCAGAAGTCAAAGCTGGAGGAGCTGAACGTTTTGATTTACAAATTGTTGAAACAAAAACTGCAAAATGAGAAGGTGACAAAAACATGTACAGTTTTAAAGAATGCTGAACACAGCTCCATTCATTTTCAGTGTGATAAAATGTGGCCGAAACAGTGAAATATCTAAAGTAAACAGCTGAAATACCAGAGGTCAAAGCTGGAGGAGCTGAACGTTTTGATTTACAAATTGTTGAAACAAAAACTGCAAAATGAGAAGGTGACAAAAACATGTACAGAAGTAAAAATTTGATCTGAATAGTGCGAAAGTTTGTGAAGTTCCCAAAAGTGATACCTGCGGGGGCTCATAAGGCACAGTCACACTCTGCCTCTTAGTGTTCGGATCCTCAAAGTACTGGGCCAGCTGACTGCCCTCCACCCGGATCAGATGGCTGCGATTCTCTGAGGCTGAAAGAACAGATAAAAAGATCCTCCAGCTTGATTCTAAACCACAGTTTAAATACTTCAGATCAATTGTTAAAGAAATGTTCTTACAGTCCTTTGTTTGATGGTGGGGGCATCTCTTAACCACCTCTGCYACATACTCTGCTTTCTTATACACCGCAGTGGCCCTGAGGATGGTGCCGTGAGGCGGCTCGGCGCTGACCAGAACTCCGATGGGCGTATTTTTTTCGAGCTGACAATACAGCTTCTTCAACACCTCAGAAAACTGTAAGCAACGAGACGAGCACAGACATCAGCTCTCTGACTGGATCTGCTTCTAGACAAAAGCAATCAGAAAAACTAAAAGCCACAAACTTTGATGGAAAAACTGTTAAAGCTGCCGTGAACTCCRAAAACACTAACAAGTTTATAAAATCTCTCACCAAAGAGGGGACGTCAGACTGATCAAACTTCATAACTCCCTCCTTTCTGATGGTTTTAACCCTTTAACTGCGAGGGACGTCCGTGCAGGAACATGCCCCGTCATGTCGCTGCTGTGCTTTTACAACCGAACTGCACCTCTCCCCCCCCTCACACTTCAGCTGCAGTAGCGAGGAGGCGGGGAGACCACCCGAACCTCCACTGAATGAGCCAACCGTGTGGCCCGGGGTGGATGAGTGACGCGGGGAAACTTCACCAGCATTGGCTGTGTGAGCGCAGCGACCACCTCGAAACCTTCAAGTTTAAAATCAGCACAATGAATGAGACTCCGCATGAAAGGCTCCAGAAGAGAGCGAATGGATTTCGAAGCATYGAGGTAAGATGTTTTATTTCACAGATAATGTGGAAAAATTATTATACTTATTGGAAAATATTAAACTTTACAAAAAAACTTTATTTTCAAACCAATAGTCCTAATTCCCTACAAAATTTAGTATAAAAGATGAAAACAGATTAAAAAACTGTTAAAATATAAAAACAAGAGTTCTCCTGATGAAGCGCTTCTGCTCCTCATCGCTTTTTAAAAAAGGGTTTGAATACTATGAAAATACAACTAAATACATGGAGCAGATACAACACATTTAAGACTTCTCTGAAAACAAAACACAACTATGAAACTTTAACTTACAGTCGACGTCACCGACTTCGCCATGCCGGTCTTTTGAAAATGGAGCTCGAAGCCATAATCTCCCGGGTAGTCTGAGGTTTCAGGGACTGTGGAGGACGGGGGGTTAGCCACGTCAGACGGCCTCCCGTTGGGGTTTAACAGCAGATCATACGTGCTCAATTCGGACTCCTGCAAGATGCGTTAAAGGACACACAAAATATGTTAAAACAAATGTAAAATTATCACTAAAATTCTGTCAGGAAGGTTTCAGGTCACAGCAAAGAGACTTACCAGCCACGCACTAYTAGGCATCGTATTTTCAGTCCTGTAGCAGGAGGGTTGTGCGGAGGGTAGATCATTCACATCATTCGTGGTGCAGCTTTTTAAGAACAAGGAACAAAATGTTAAGTTTCACAGAGCAAATTCGTGTCTTTAAAAACGATCGGCGGCGTTCACTTCATACTCACACACTTGCCCACAACTCGCTGAACGAGTCGGGCAAATCCATGTCTGGTTCTCCCATATTTCTCTTCGATCCACTTCAAGTGAACGAAAACACTGTGGGACACAAACAGGAGGTGACGACTTGAGCTGAGATCAACTAATACAASTCTACAAATAAGTTTATCAACATAATACCACAAATGCTTAATTACATTTTTAACATCAAAACTACAATTATGTCCTGTTGTGGTTTGGTAATAGCTCTAATTAAAGTCAAAAAGCTAAACAGCAATTAAACATGCAAGAACATTTAATAATCTATGCAATGTGTTTATAATGACACTTCTAAATAAGCCTAATAAGTTGGAAAGAGTTTTGTTATTATTTTTGTCCCATGGTGAACCAAACAGGAAATAAACCAAMTCAAGTAGGCCTTTGTCTGACCCACTTTTAAATAAACTGCAAAATATTTAAAATAAAATGTGTTTTTTACTCTCACAGTTTTATACAGTTCAGAATAAAGCCAACCAAACAACAAAAACAAAAAAACCCAACTAAATAACTTCGCTTTGATTCATTTTCTAATCGAAGCGGCTGCTAGCTTAACTTGAATGAAGCTAGCATCCGCTGCTGGTAGAGGCAACACTATGAAATATAATAATACAATAAAAACTTTAAATAACGTCGAAACGTTTTTAAAAATAATAGCTATCGATTGTCCAACACTGAAACGCGTGTAAATAAACCGTACATGTTTCTTTTTCTTGTTTTATCGCAGAAGCCTCATTTAGCGTGTGCGGCTAGCTTACGAAGAAACGACGTTTGCGAAACACCGCGAAAAATGAGCTGATATATAGGAGTAACTTTGACAGAAAGCGCGTTTAAGTCTGCACCGTTGTCTTTAATGTTGTGCTGACCTGCCACTGGAAGATGACTCAGAATGTAAAGTGTGGGAACGATGACACCGTCGAGGAAAAATCAAAATATTTGTGGATACAAAGTGAGCACGCTGTCGGGGGATTCCCAGGGAGGACAAGGGGAGGAGCTCATTTTATTCTCCGGCGTCGACCAATCAGTGAGTAGCAAAGCTGTGAACTATCCAATGGCATACGACGCCGTGCATAGACCACGCAGRCTGCGCACCATTTATTAACCGGTTGACAAAGCGGAGTGCGGGGTGGGCGGAATTTGATCTTCATTYATGCGACAAATCCAAAAGGCAGCGGGCTACATCGCCCCCCTCTTAAACCATATGACTGATAYAAAGCTGTTTTGATGCAGCAGGTTTTAAATGCAGTGAATAAAGCCCGGTACTCTGCTGAAYAAAATGAACTGGACATGAATTACAAGACTGTGTGTTATGTGGTTTAAGGTGTCTCACTTTTACAACTCCAAAAACAACTGATTAACTTTTGGACCCAACACAGTCAAGATGGCCTGCTACAGCAAATCAAAAAAACACAAAAAACAGCTAAAACTCAGTTTTATTTTATGTGATAATCTTAATTTAAAAGTAATGACAGGCAGCTGGTGATATGCAGAAATGCTCAGTCTTCTTATATTGCACATGAGCTGGTATTGAAACTGTAGGTTGAGTTCAAACAATTAAGTAAATTTCTCTGATATTTTGTCSGTATACAGGCCGGATGATGCTGCCTCTGTTACAGACGAGATATCTACAGATCTGGTGCCTCTGCATAAACCCGTCACGTGGAGTCACATCCAAATAGTTTTGTCCACCTGTTGGTTCTCACCTGTCTCTGGTTCTAGTTCCACTTCAGGAACATGTCGCCTGTTCGACCTTTGAATGAACGTAGACAGAGTCAGGGAGTCATCTCTGAAGCTGCACCAGAGCGGTCTGGCTCATAAAAACATCTGAGGTTCTGATTATTCTTATCAGTATTTTTTTTTTTATATATTTTCAGTTTTGCATCTTTGTGACGTGATGCTAAACCGATCCAGGGCTGTGTGTGACCCAATATTATTCCCATCTATCCATCCATCCATCCATCCATCCATCCATCCATCCATCCATCCTTCATTCATCCATCCATCCATCCATCCATCCATCCATCCATCCATCCATCCATCCATTATCCATCATCTACTGTATCTATAATTCATCCATCCATCCATCCATCCATCCATTATCCATCATCTACTGTATCTATAATTCATCCATCCATCCATCCATCCATCCATCCATCCATCCATCCATCCATCCATCCATTATCCATCATCTACTGTATCTATAATTCATCTATCCATCCATCCATCCATCCATCCATCCATCCATCCATCCATCCATCCATCCAACCAACCATCCATCATTCATCCATCCATCATCCATCCATCATTCATTCATCCATCCATTATCCATCATCTATCTTTCATTCATCTATCTATCTATCTATCTATCTATCTATCTATCTATCTATCTATCTATCTATCTATCTATCTAT